TACCACGGTACACTCTAGTCACTCGTAGAGGTAGAACCAAGGATAAGCTCAACTAAACGAATTTCTTGATGCTTGGTAATAATTAGGGTGATTTCTTGCACCACTTCCTCAAAATATATTGTTATCTGACTTACAACAGTTTCCAGAAGCCATAGTCACCACAAGATTCTATGCGCTAATCAAAATGTATATTGTTAACTCTAAACTACATGAATGTGTACTTGGTAGTTTGTATAGAAAGTTTCCAAGCTCGGCTGCAAAAATTTCAATGATTTATATATATATATATATATATATATATATATATAACATTCCAAATTTTCGTCTGAATCGTTTCTTCCATAAGTATCACTACAAAAAAAGCAAATATTGTTACGAATTTGTGACGTCATAAAGTAACAAACTAATACGAATTTGTGACTAAACATAAGTCACTCATAGTTACACATATTTTGTAAGTACGACATTACAAATAGTCACTGTGTTAGTGACTTTTGTGTTTTGGTCATAAATAGTGATGTTTTTATTATCGTTTTGTTACAAAAAAAATTTAATGAATTTAAAATAAAGAAAAAAATAGTTTTAATTCAAGAAAAAAATTCCAAGATACATAATAACTTTAAAAAATAACATAGTAAAATGTAAAAGAAAAAATTATTATCAGTATTTGTGATCTTGATATGCATATGACCTGCATAAAGTTAACAAAAGAAATGAATTAGTCAGAAGTTACCAATACTAAAAATAAATCAAATAAAAAATTAATAATCTATATGCATAATATATAGACAAAAACCTTTAAAAAAATTGAAGCTCCAGGTATAGAAAAAAAATAAAAAAAAAAAACATCAGTTCAAAAACCACAAAACGTTTTATGAAAACAAAATTTAGCAACCAATAAAAATAGTAAAAATATAGACAGCTTACAAGGAGGAGAATTTGGATCCAAATTTTTGTGAATGTTGAAGATATGAGCGGCATAAGAATAGATATCAGATAAAACCTTAAGAATCTGATTCATCGCTAGATAATTCGATATCAAAATTTCCATCTTCAGCATCTGATCCACTTTCTGCTACTTCTTCTGGATCATCAAGATCTTTTGTTTGGCCATGTAGTGTTAGTGTCTCGATATGCAATGAATCAGCTTGAACAATATTACCATCATTTTCTTGTTGCATTGCAGTGAAATCTAAATTTTGGTTGATCAATACTTTTCTTCTGGGTTGTATCATAATTGCTGTTTTCCAGTGTTGATCTTTTTTTGGTTGAGTCATCCGTGTATATGGAATATAACATACCTGATCTGCTTGTGAAGCAAGTACAAAAGGATTATATTTTTTATAACTCTTGTTAGCATAAATATCAACAATCCCTGACTTGTTTCTTCGTATGCCTTTCCCAATGGTTGATTCATACCAATCACATTTGAAGACCACAACTTTAAGATCAACTGGTCCTGGATAATGAATCTCAAAAATCTCTCTCAATATTCCATAGAAAGCAGGTTCTTCACTAGAGCCAGAAGATGTTGTACCTTTGACACAAACGCCATAATTGAATTTTTTTTTATCTTTTCTATGATCATATGTATGAAATACATATCCACGACAAAAATACATTGACCAACAAGTAATTTTAACCATTAGACCATGAACGAGAGACAACAACCATGTTGGATATGAATTCGCCGTCCAAGTGTCTTCCACCTATTTTTTTATGTATACAAAACATATTATAATCTTAGCTTATCAAAGATTTATCAAAAATATATTTTTGGACAAAAAAACTAAACCTTACATGTTTTTGTAACCAGTTTGAATATTTCTTTTCTCTAAGCTCAATCAGATTGTTTTCGTTTATCCCTGGATTAGCTGCAATCATGCTCTCATCGAATAACCTATATATTAAAATTCACGGGTAAATTTAATGTTTTATACACTTACCATATCAAAATATGAATTAACGTAAATTTGTGCAAATTAATATTTTTAATACCTTTCAAATGGTCTTAATTGATCACAGTTCCGCAAAATATATGTATGTATGATATGATGATCTTTATCTTGGAGCCACATCTCTTTTTCTTTACCACTGCCTTTCCCTGGTTGAGAAAATATATCTGGAATTTCTTCAAACTCATGTGTATCTTTTTGATTACCTCCATCATAGTGTCGATCTCCTCTTCGCTTTTTTGTCTTGATGTGTGGCTCAAAGTAATAACTACAAAAAGTAGAAATTTCTTCATTGATGTATTGTTCAACAATTGAGCCTTCTACCTTTGCTTTATTTTTTACTTTTTTCTTTAGATGACCCATGTATCGTTCAAAAGGATACATCCATCTAAATTGCACAGATCCTCCAAGGCTAGCTTCGTGTGGCAAGTGAATTGGCAAATGCTCCATAACATCAAAAAAAAGAAGGAGGAAATATCTTCTCTAGGTTACAGAGAACCATACAGATATTCTTTTGCAACATCGCAACACCATCTTTGTGTATAATTCTTGCGCATATGTCTCGGAAAAATAAGCTAACACCTACCAAAAAAAGATTGTTATATGAATTAGAAGTTTTAATCATAGTGTATAATATAATAACATCACACATGCCTATTAACACTTCTTCAAATTAATATTACAATGTTGAATACTTACTAGATAATGAATCGTATACAGAACTTTTCATTCCGGTTAATTTTCCTCCCACTAAATCAACACAATTAGATAAACTTGATGAATATCCATATGAAAATTTAACATCTTTTTCAAGCCATCGTAGGAAAACTATTTTGGCATCAGTTTGTAGTCTGAAAATTGGGATTGGTGCCTTCCCGTCAGCAGCTAAATGCAACTTCTTGCGATTACAATGCTCTTGCAAATCAAGTCGTGATTTGATGTTATCTTTCATTCTATCCTTTACATTCAGTAAAGTATTGATGATATTGTCAAAAAAAATTTCTCGATGTGCATCATATTAAGATTATGTCGAAGTTTCTGATCCTTCCAATAAGACAGCTCCCAAAAAATGTTTTTTTTATGCCAATTATGACTGCTACCGTATCCTTGTATTTTTCCATGTTTTCCTCCACATTCAACTGTTTTTGGTAAACCATATATTTCATTCAAATATGAGGTGGATTATCATTCACAGTCCTTCCTCTTTTGAAAATTTTTTTGATATTGTTGCTAATGGTTGATACAATCCTCAAAACCATTGAACTATCTCTAGATGAACAACTTGCAGAAGCTAAAGTTGTCAGGTTCGTAATCTTTGACCCAAAAGATTTCTCAAAAGGAATAACATCTCGGATCAGAGTTCCTGGCGTAGCGGCATTTGAGCTTTCCAAAACCCCAGCTTCCCATGTTGTTGTGTTTGTTCCAGAAGTAAAGGTGCATTTTCATCACTTGGGCTATCATAGTCTGTTTTAATTAATAGTAAAAAAAACTTTTCCGTGATCTGTTTAGTTTTGTTACTGCCTTCTAGCTCAAAAGGTTTTTTTTCCTTTCATTTTATAAACTGCACACCGTCATTTGTGTACGTCCTAAGCTTTTAGGTATTCGCTCCTGTAATTTTTGAAAGTATTTACTCTTTGCTGCTTTGACAGGTAAAGAAGGACCAGTTCATGATGTTCAGTGGTCCTTCTCGGGTTCAGAGTTTGCCGTTGTATATGGCTGTATCCTTTTTCAACTCTGTTATAACGACTTATCTGTATGAGTTTATTCGCATCTATATGTTGCTTCTGGTAATTGTTTCTTTAAATTTTGTTTTTCCTTAAGTGTTTAGTTTAGTTATGCCTGCTTGTGTGACAATCTTTGACAAGAAGTGCAAACCTTTGATGGAACTTGGCGAAGGTCTTTATAACACTCTTCGCTGGAACCCTAAAGGGAGACGTATGATTCTCTTTTCCATCCCTGTTCTCTTTTGTCTTCTCGTTTTTGTTTCTTTCTTAAATAGAGCTTTGAGTTCATACATGCATTTTTAACTTTGACTTTATGTTTCACAGTTTTATGTGTGGCTGGATTCGGTAACTTACCTGGTGATATGGTAAATGACAATCCCTTGTGTTCTTCGCAATTTTCGTTTTCCGGTTAACAATTAGTCAGCAATTTACGTTATACTATCGAAATGATCATCTCTAAATGGTTACTCACTTAGCTAAATAAGAGGAAAAATATGTTGCAATCCCATTGCTATACTGATCAGTTTTCATTTAACAGAAGCATACTAGCTTAACATTGAAAGAAGAAGATAACGTTGTTACCAACGTCAAGATTGATTTAGCTCGTGGAAGAGAAATCCTCTTGAATGGTAAGTATACAAACACTATTTAAGCTTCAGCATCCTTAAACTGAATTGATCCAATAGATCCTTCACTAAAATACTCTGCTCGCTTTATCTTCAAACCTTCACTTCTGCATTTTTTCATATATAGATCCGAACCTATTTATAACTCTTTTAGTATGATCATACATCCAAACTTGCTCATTTACAGGTTTTCTACTCGTTCAAAACTATCCGAAGAATATAAGAAGATAAGTTTTCAATTTATACACCTGATCATATATAGTTACTATATTTCCTTAGATAGTTACTTTATAATATAGTCTGGTGATTTGGATTAGGTTAACTCTAGCTATTTATAAATAATGAAATGTTATTAATTTTACCCTAATTTTTATTACACGTCCTCAACTTTCTTTAGCCGCGTTGCCGAAAATTTCCCACTAATAGAGAAGCGCTAAAAAATTTCTATCCATCTCCTCCACTCTCGATGAAAACCGCTCACTTCCTTTTAAATTGAAGCACTTCGTTCTTTTTTTTCAGTTTCCACGACGACTCTTCTTTTTCATTGAAGCGACTTGTTGTGTTTCAGTTCTGAGATTTCATTTGAAGGTAATTCTACAAATCTACTAATTCTGGATTTTTAGAAGTTAATCTAGAGTTGAATTTGCATATCTTCTCTTGAATCTGTTTTTTTCTCATGTTTTTATTGTGTAGGTATGGAAGAAGTGGATCGGATAACTTTGCCTTTACTCCATCCTGGTCGCCAAAATGGCGCTAAATGGTATGTATTCAGGAATTCTCTTACAGATATGAGATATCTAATATAGAATACAGTTTCATAAAGTAGCAACTAGTTAATCTATTTCAATTGACCAGGTTTGGACACCACACTCAAGTATCAACAGCTGTGAGGAAGATCATTCAAAGTTGTTTTAGAGGACCATGGTACTCTTGGAAAAGAGTGCCACCCTTCTACAAACAAACATGGTTTGAAATGTTTAAGGTATCTTTTGTTTCTTTTTCACTTGTTTTTTGTTCGAAGAAATCATTTTCAAACTAACTCATTTTTTTGTAGAGAAAATTTAACTAGTATAATAACATCAATGATCAAGTTGAAACTGAGTTTAATAAGCTTGCTGCTTATCAGCTCAGAGGAATGATAAGCCATGCAAAGAATCTTGGTGAAAACCAGATTGGATTCCGCTTGAGTATTGGACTGTTATGCTAGTTCATTGGGCAACACCAAAAGCAAAAAGCAAACAGTGAGAAGGTGCGAGCTTCTAGAATGTCTGATCGAAATGGTCTAGGCCCACATTCTCACCTTGGTGGTTCAAGATCTTGCGCCAAACTTCAAGATCTTTTGGTAATGAAATTTTTTTTTATTACTAATTTTGAGTTTTGACTATTGTTTTTTATTGTTTCACTTTGTTTTATCTTTTTGTTTACAGGAAGCAAACAATGAAGACTATTCATTTATTGCTGTGATGAAGAAAGTGCATCAAAAGCCTGATGGGACTTATGTTGATCAGCGAGCAAAAATGGTTGAAGAAGTTTATGAGAAGTATATACAAGAGCGACTTGAACAACTTGTAGCTGCCGGTGAAGAGAATGTGACTGCTGAAAGTCTTGGCCAAACTGAAAAAAATGAAATTTATGTCAAGGTAATATTTTTAAAGTTATACTATTTTGGAACTTTTTTTGAAAATGTGTTTGTGTTCAGCGTAATTGAAGCAGGTGTAATCACAAATTCTTTTGGCTTGATTAGTGTGGTTGTCTTTAGTTAGGCGTGTATTTGGTTTTATTTGGCTTGATTAAGGAATGCTTAAAAAAAAAAGATTAATGACTGTTGTGGTTTTAGGTCGTTGGTTTGATAAGTTCTTTAGTTAGGCGTGTATTTGATTGTCTTTATAGTTAGGTGTGTATTTGGTTTTATTTGGCTTGATTAAGGAATGCTTAAAAAAAAAAGAGATTAATGACTGTTGTGGTTTTAGGTCGTTGGTTTGATAAGTTCTTTAGTTAGGCGTGTATTTGATTGTCTTTAGTTAGGTGTGTATTTGATTGTCTTTAGTTAGGCGTGTATTTGGTTTATTTGGCTTGATTAAGGAATGCTTAAAAAAAAGAGATTAATGACTTTGTTGTGGTTTAGGTCGTTGGTTCGATAATTCTTTAGTTTCCATGTTGTGAGTATATCTAGTGCTTGTATCAGATGACTAAAATAGTTTTTCATCATTTATTTTTTTTGTTTTCTATTCTAGGCTGCTGCATATGCTCATGGCTCTTCTAAACAAAATCACATCTTTGGACTTGGAGCACTAAGTGGAGTTTTATCATCTGTTGAAGCTTCTCCAAATCAACCACAGACTTTTGAAGAATCAGGGATGATAACTCGGATGCAGGAATTGGAAGCTGAACTCAAACAGAGCCATGAAGAAAACCAGCAATTTCAGAAAAGGCTTGAAGCTATTGAAAAAATTCTTCAGTCTCTTGCAAATCAGAATGCATACATCAAACTTCATCACTTCCACTACCAAGCAAATTCACTCCACCACTTCCACTACCAAGCAAGTCACGTAATGTTTAATTTTTTTAGTATTGTTTAGTCTGTTTTTTATCAAGTTGTTTCTACTTATCTTTAGGATTGTTTTTTTCATATTCTACTAGGACTATTTCCTTTAAGTTTCGTTTGTGTAACTTTGTTTATAAGAACTACTTTTTCCTTTAAGTTGATTTGTGTAAGTTTGTTTCGGATGGTGGATGGTTAATTAATATTATCAATTGTTTATTATATTGTTTTTTAATATTGTATTATATACTATTTATTATATAAAAATATAGCAATAATTAAATTAGAAATATTTTATAATTTTGTGATAATAAAAAAAAACGTTATAATACAAATACAATTTGTGACAATTATGTGATTATTTTTTTGTTACAATCTGTGGTGTAGTTGTGATAATATTAGTCACTAAATTATGATATTTTGTGACTTTAATTTAGTCACAAATTGTATCGGTGTTGAAAAACTATTTTGGTCATAATTTATGATGATTTTGTGACTTAAATATAGTAATAATTTGTTACAAATATGTGATAATTTTTTGTCACAATTTGTTGCATAGTTGTAACAGTATTTTCGACACGAATTGTGTTGTTTTTGTAACTGTTAAAATTGTCACAAAATGTTACAAATTGTTACCATTCTTATTCTTCACAATTAGTTTCGTTTTTGTAAATGTTTCAAGATCATCACAAAATATTACGAATTGTTATCATTCTTATTCGTCACAAACTGTTATTACGTTTTTGTAATGGATAGGAGATTGTGACGATTTTATTGTGACGTTTTGTAAATTGTAATCATTTCATCACAATAAAAAAATTGTGACGAAATATATATCTATTGTTACATAAAAAAGTGTAACAATAATCATTTTTTTTTGTAGTGTATGTAGAGTATAACCTGTCTTACCTGCAACTCTCAAGAGAGAGGCAATGCACATAGTCGTCACGGCAGCCAATAAAAATCCGGCCACCGATCATCACTGGTGAAGAGAAAATGTCTGCCTGCAAATCCAGCCTCGCGATTTCTCCTACTTTTGGTTCATGTGAATCTATGCCGATATTGGGTCTCACACGAAGGACATGAACTCTTCCCGTGCTAGAGCATACAGACACCAACCTGGAAAAGTACATGGAAACACAAGGAAGAGGCATCATCATACCCTCCATGATAATTAAACTGATTTATAAATGTACTTATTCTTGCAGTTATTACCTGTCCGATGCAAGCAGTTGATGCGATTCAAAATGCAGATTCTCATCGATGTATGCAGATGCGGTGATCGGGTCTCCAATATCGTATTCCCACACGAGACACCCGGATTCCTGAAAGCAAACTTTCACAAAACATTCATGATTCATGATACTGAAGTTTTGAGTCGAGGACCACAACAACTGATACTCTTGTAGGGTCCCTATCAATGTCTTTGTAGTCCTAAAACCAAACCTAATATAAAGGTGTTTAGTGAAAAACTACAAAAATGACTTCCCTTGGAGCCGATTTGATTCCACTAATTTTGCTACAGATTCAAGAATACCGTTAGTGCATCCACAAGCTGTTAACTTCTAAAGAGAGTGCATGCCTTCTAATATAAACTCAGAAAATCGATGAGCCAATGAACGCAGAAGACTTTTATTAAACTAATCGTCTTTGAGAAAGGACTCCCTTGAAGATGCATAAGAAGAGGATATTTTAGAATATATAGAGACATGATGAAGTTGTACTCGCTTCTATCGCATTACTTAAAAACAAAGCACCTCTTACAAATAAATAACGGTAAACAGCAATAAGTGAACACTTCCATGTCCAAGGGAGATAAGAAGTACCGGTTCTAGTGAATAAACTCTTCCATTTCTACAGCACACGAGCATCTGGCGATAAAATAGACATTTAATCAGCCTGGCGAGAAACCTCTACAAAAAAAGGATGGATTGCAGATTTACTTGGGATGCAAATGATGCACACGATTGGCACGTGAATTTTTTCTAATGGAACCACAAAAAATACCTGAGATGGAAGAACATGCGACATGCAAGGCCCAGCAAATATTGGCCCACCAGTCATATACTGCATCGTTGTAACAATTGAGTAGTTTGAGCACTATGAGATGGCATAACAAACTGACAGGAACAAAAGATGTTGAAAGCCCTTTTGACTACATAGTTAACTATCATCATTCAGTATCTCCTAAATAGGATAGAGTCAGGGGACGCTATATAGACTTTCGTCACTTTACAATATCATTCAAATGCACTGAGATCAAATCAAACACATACCTTCCAAATAATAGTTCCAAACGGACTCACTGCCACAACTTGGCCATTAACTAAGCAGCAAATAACTGTGACAGAAAATAGAGAATGACAATGATGCTGAAATCAAGAAATTAGAAAGAAAATAGAAAAAGAGAGGATAAAAAACCGCTTTGGCCTGTCGGGCTAATGGATAGGGAACCAAAAATCGGTGCCTCTAATTCAAGTACCCACAAGGTGTGGAATGGTGAATCCTGCATTTGCAAAATTAACCGGAATAAAGGAGGGTCCATCTCCTATATTAATCTGTACGAAACAAACCCCCCTATGGAGCCATCTAAACTTAATGCAAATTAGTTGAGCTAGACTTCTCTATAGAGTACGACAGACTATGCAGGACACAATTTGGCTTAAATATGAATACTCCAAGGACTATTCATAGCTTACCGGCAAACTGAGAGTTAAAAAATTAGGCAAAGAAATTCAAGTCCAACACATCTCAAATTTAAATGGAATACAAAAGATATACAAGCAACAACAAATCGGGCTCTAAGATTGTGGATCAAAAGGCCCATACCTCTATTGATACAGCTATCACGCGACCACTTGTAGAAGCCACGTAAAGTGAACTATGACCCTGGGTGAAGCATCAAAGATGAATCAGGTGACGTGCGACCACAGATGACTGTGCTTTTAGCTTTGGACAAGAAAATATGCATAACCAAGTGGATAAAGTAATTTAAGCCTTCACCTCAGCAATTATGGGTGAAGCAAATATGCTCCCACCACATTGCAGCTTATAAACACAGCGTTGGCTCCTATAATCAAGGGCATAAAGAATGTGGTCATGTGATCCACACCTGCATGAAAGGTACATAATTTAGCTTGGGTGGTTGATGGATTTTACAAGATTGGGCAAAATATAGTCTACAGCAGGAAAGAAAAACATTTGTGAAGATGTGTTGTAGACAAATATAGTCTACAGCAGCGTGAAAGTAAACACCCAGGGAGCTAAAAGTGTGACAGAAAGAGTCCTCACAGTATTACCATATCAGTTGTGAAGATGTGTCCACAACAGGTTGGCACTTTATCTATACCGGAAAACGAAAACACATTGTTTTACGTCTCAGAATAGAAATTAAATCACTAAGAATGTAGATAAACAGAGTACAAATGTATTATCAATCAATTTTTCTGCAGATCATACCTCGCCACCTGCTTGGAAAGTCCAACATAAGCTTCCAGTTGAGAAATCTAAGAAATATAATTTTCCTTTGTAGCACCCAACAACGACCTACCATTGGAGACGTCCCTAAAACTGTTCAAATGAATTACAAAGGATACATTAAGCTATACAAATTGATGAGAAGACTAACCTGAGAAAAATCACCAACTACCATGGCTGAACCTTCGATCCTTCCTTCTAAAACGGTCTCCCAACAGATAGAACCACTAATAAGCACAGTAAAGTGTATCAGTGTCGTGTATCATTTGTTAAAAATGTAAAAAAGTCTAGCCTAATTCCTAAAAAATGTAAACCCAATCCTCTCATTTCATTGTAGATCCAAATCTAATATCAATAATTCAAGAAGAACTTAAAACTTCAAATGCGTAGATACAGAAGATTAACAAAGATGCATACCTTTTCGCGTCGATGCAGTTAAATTTACGTGAGTGAGACCCAATAAATACATAAGTTTCCGAATGCTTCAACACAACTAGGGGCGAGGCATCTACACAAGACTCCATATGAACTTTCCATAGCTCTTGCATAGAGACCATATCATTCCTTGGAAACTCCACCGACCAGTTTTCTTGGTCTCCCTCTTCATTACTACATGAGTTTGGATAATGTACCTTGTTGCACCGACTGAATGCACACTGTATTTGAGAAAATCCTAAATCCCATGTTTTTTTTTCTTCCACTCTTTCGGACGAAAACTGTTCTGAATCAGTTTTCAACCGCTTTGTAGACACGTTTTTCTCGCTTAAAGGTGTTGGGTCGGATATAACAGCAGAATGAAGTGGAATAGTTCTACTAACAAACTCATTACCACTCTGGCTTTCTCTCTTGTGGTCTAGCTTCAGAGTGGTGATGTGTTGCATATCTTCTGTTAACTTTCTTTCCTTCTCTGACAGATGGATCAAAAGCTTAGATGGACTTCGAAATTGGTAAATCAATCTCATATCAATACCAAGACTATGAGAAAGATGTGCTGCGGCTAAAGAGTCTCCACCAATCGCAAAGAAATCATCATCTTCTGAAACTTCTTTGACCAGTAATGCATCACAAATGGCCTACATCAAAAGTCAAGAAATGATCTAAGTCCATTTGTATGGCCAATTAGATTATGCAGATAAAAAATAATCAAAAAATGTTCTCTACATTATTTCGTATGCATAATCACGCAAACAAATTTTGAGATTCTAAGTTTATGATAAGCATAGTCCCTTGCACCTCATTGTCTCTACTCCCTGTTTAGTTACTCCGGTTATGATAAAAAAATCTGACAGAAAATACCCTTAAACACCCCTTAAACCGTCAAATGAATTATCAAATTCCTTTGCACAACTCGAACCTCTTTCCCTTTGATCTTTATTTTGACCTAAGGAGAAAATAAAACGTGTAAGCGCAGCATGGAAACTCTCTGACCTTTTTAATAGTTTGCAATAAACTATTACTTCCATTGGTACGTGTCATATCTTCAGCATGGGTTCTAGGACCTTTCAACCTTGATAGTGCTTCATAATCAACTTTTCCACTTGAAGTACTTGGTAGTGATTCCACCAAAACAAAATGGTTAGGAATCATCACCGGAGGAAGTTTTTCGCGCATCCAATTTTTTATAGCATATATGATACCATCATCGGACTTGGTTTTCATGTTCAGTACCAAATAGGCCTCAAGTGAAGCAAGCTCTGTCTGATCTCTGTTAAGTAGAACAACAGCTTCAGAAACATCTGGATTTAGTTCTAGAGTTGTTTCAATCTCTTCAAGGGCCATGCGCTGTCCATTGAGTTTAACCGTTCGATCCCTTCTCCCAGTAAAAATTAAATCACCGCTAGAAAGTTTTCGGCCGTAATCACCAGTTCTATAATAAAGCTGACTTCCACAATCATTGGTTATATGATTACATAATGAGTTGTTGTTATGTAGCTTCACGTAGCCTTGGGACTCTATTGAGGAATGCTGGTATCCTTGCGAAAGACAGATACCACCCACACATATATCTCCCTCACAGGGTTTATCTTCATCCCCAAAAAGTACAATTTTGCAATTGGATATTGGCTTGCCAATAGGAACAGTACCAATCATCTCGGTCTTCAAAAGTGTTGGCAACTCACTGCAGTCAAAATAAGTGCAGTCCCCTGATACCTACACAAAACAAAAAGGCTAATCGATACACATTTAATGTCAACAAACTGCTGCATAAGTTAAGAGAATGCAGAAATGATATAATCCGAACCCTGACCAGCCAGCTACAACCAGTTAGACGAAAACTAACTATCAAACAAGCAAAACTAAGAACTCTTCAAGTTATCAACATCTTTTAAACCAACAGTGCTTTGCACTTATCAACATCTTTCAAACTATTAACGAAAGCCGGTACTAACTGGCCGGCACTGCTACGAACTTTTGAAGTACACAAGCTTAAGAAGATCTACTGAAATCAAATCATCAATAAGCATATTTCTTACCTCTGTGCTCCCATATAGATTCAGAAAACATGTTTCGGGAAGTAGGTTGTGAAGTGAATCCCACAGGCTCACAGGAAAGGGTTCGCCGCTTAAGACTACCAGCTTCAGGCAACTTTGGAGCTTATTGTGTCCACGATATTGTAAACTTGGTAGAATAGCTCTGATCATCGTTGGTACAGCTACGAGCCTACTGATAGAATACGCCTATCAAGATTGATAAACTCTCGCCGATGTTACCCGAACAGAAAGTAAAGCAATACACTGAAAGATAATTCAGTGTTCCTATAATGACAGGAACCTTAATTTAAGCAACCAACAAAAGAAGCTATATCTGTTCTTCTTCACGAAACAATGATTTCCTTCAGTCATGCTCTAAACTAAGAGATCTAGTCACAACATATGCTGTTTTCGAAGAGACATCATAAGTAGATTAAAGTTAAATAAAAGAAACTAGAAACCTATCATTATGAAACATGGCATCCAATGGATTTATCATGACAAAGTTAAGATATACAATACCACTGTCTACATTATTTATTGCTTCAAATTACGTATATGATCCCCAATATACAACCTAGTGAAGATGCTTAAACTAATTTACCGATTTTGAAATATGGATATTTGAAAGCAAAATAGGAACAGAAAAGTGAGAACCGACTCCTGAACATCTGAGATATTGGCAACTAAAATAGTTTGAGTATAAACAATTTTCATGAATCTCAACAGCATGACTTCTACAGAAGGTGATTGCTATTTTCTTTCCAAACTATAGAAAACATAACTCTTACCTCAAGAAAATCAATGATGGATAACATATTCTCTTTTAGAAGAGTAAATGGAGGGATGACTAGTGGTCTGGAATTAAGAATAGCACCAAGAAACTCCTGCAGATGATCAATAAAACCAACTGAAGTCTTGAAAGCCAATTGCTGCTCTCCAACAATAGGATACAGCTTTTGCATCCACAGGAAGCGATTTAAAAGTCCTTCAGAGAGCAATGGACAGACAACCCATAGGTTATTATCACTTTGCATGAAAAACGAATAGCACACACTACAAATATACATGAATTTTCATTTAAATTAGCTAAGAAAAAACAGCTATCTACCATTAGTTATTTACTGGTGTTAAGCCTTAAATACACCATGTCACTTACAACGAATAGAAAATAAATTATAGAATAATCAGTGGGAAGACTGAAATATATGAAAACAGCTACAGACATGCTTTATATCTATTCCAACAAGATGTTTCGATATCCCAAAGGGTCAAAGTTTTCATGTAATTCCAGAGAGCTTTAGCTATCGTAACTACAAAGAACAATCAGCAATCTAACATTACATATATTTATCCAGAAAGAACATGTGATCTACTGATAATGATCCCTTCATTAAGAGAACACTAGGACGACTTTCGAATCTTAAGGTCACCATAACTAAAAATGTATTTGAATTTTAAAAAAGTAGCAGAAACAGCTTAAAACAGTTTTTATCATGAAAAGAAAAACATCCAAACCTTGCTCAGTGCCACATACTCCTTTTGGCTTCCCAGTGGATCCAGAGGTATACATCAGATAACAAAAATTTCTTTGCCTCTCTATATTGCAAGGCCAAACAAAACTTGATCCACCAGTTTCCGCACTCAATCTTTCACTCATCGAAAAGAACAACATAGGACAAACGACGCTTCCCACAAGCCAATGTGATCTCTCGAGCGGCTTAGACCCGAATCGATCGAAAGAAGAGCCGCAAGCAATAACAAGAGCAACATTGGAAGAGGCAATAATAGACAATACCCTTTCTCTTGGCCATGAAGGATCCAAAGGTAAAAACGCTTCTCCACATCTCAAAGCAGAGAAAACACTGATTATGTATTCAACTGAAGGTGGCATATATAAAGCCAATACCTTTGGTATATAAACATCTGAATCATCAGCTTCGAAGTCAAGTTTCTCTACAATGTCAATAGTTGAAACTTTATGAGATGGGTAAAGAGAAAATGTTGCTTTTACACTCACATGGCCTTAAAGAGTAACCTTGAAATCGTGGTCTGATGAGGTAAGGATCATTGTGACCGGTAACATTGAGAATACGACGGAGACGAGAGGTGAGGGAATCAATGGAAGAAGAAACCTCGGCGAATGTGAAACATTTGTCTCCGTCGTAAACAGGCGATGATGTGCGCGACGGAGGATCAAAAGGTTCAAGTGATTCCGGTTCCGGCTCAATCCTCGCCGCCCAGCCCGAGGCATGAATCACCGCGATTTTGTCAGGGTTTATGGAGGCTGCATCGACGAATTCATGAGAAATGCAGCAATTGCGACGATTCTGCGACTTGGTTCGGTTACTTTCAGTCATCTTTCGCGAAATTTGGGAGAAAAACAAACTTTGGCTGATTTAGAGACGCCACTCTCTTACTTCAAATGATCAGAGAATCTGATTACGTTTTTCTTCTACAATGGAGTCGTTCGTTAAAAAATACAAAGAATTTTAAAAGGGAAGATGCATAAACGAAAATAAGATATTTTGAGGCCCACTTTGGCCCATATTTTGCAATATCTGATCATTGTTATTGAATTAGTTTTTTTTATTTTATTGTTGAAATTAAACCAAAAATTCAAAAACTGAATGATACTTACAATTACCAAAGAACCCATAATTCCCGAAGGAAGATTACAAAACTGGAACGAGAAAATATGGTTACCATGGAGGCATGAAATAACCGGAATAAGATTCAAGGAGAGATGGACAAGCAATCGAATCTTGTCGGAAAAAAATAATGAGATGTTTATGTACAGTGTGATCAATAATTACTTTTAAAGAACTCGCTGAGGTAGAGATGGAAGAGAAAATCCTAGCATTATGTTCCTTCCATACCACGTAAGAGATGACTTGAAGGAAGAGTTTAGCAATAGAGACATGAGCTGCTTGTGCAGGCCTCTGGATTTGTGCAATCCATTCCATGATTAAGAGAGGCTCTAGGGGAGGTGGTAGCCAGATTCTACTTGCAAGGGAGATAAAAATATCCCCAAAGAACTGGCATTCAAAAAACAGATGATAGTGGATTACGTACTTGAAGTTGAGGGACAGATGACACATTTTGGAGGCCCTGTTATACTCCACTCAGGTAGACAAGCAATTTCTAAGGTATATAACACATATATGCTCTAATTCTTTTCTCCCTTTTTCTGAAAATCATCGAAATGGCTCGAGAAGAAAAACAATCGATTTTATTTCACTTATCAAGAAGAATTACAAAATCAATCTACAAAAATGAATCGATTCCTCAAATCCAAGAACAAATCTCTTGAATCTGCTTAAAATTGTAAACAAAAACTCTATAATAATTTCCCAAAACTTTCTGGATTTTCGTTCATTTGGGTTGTTAGAGATATTTTTATCTCTGAGTGAAATAAAATACAATTGTAAGGGTTTTTAGCTTATGTTTAGTGCTTTGATCTTAGGATATATGAAACTTAAACGAACACAAGAAAGTTTGGTCACTCAGTTCACGGTCTCGAACCGCTACGTCTGGGATGGGAACCGTCTCCCACAACTTCCACTATCAATCAAAGATTACACAAGCACACTAACCGGTGCTCTCTTTTGTGTTCAGGTACAAAGCTTAACCAAGAAACTTAGAAGGAGATTACTACACCAAAAGACACACTCTAAGAACTCTAAGAACACGAAGACTCGAACTCCGTTTCTTTTCTCTCGATTGCCTTTTCTCTCTCAACTTCTCTCTCTCGTTTCTCTTGCTTGTACTATGCTCCTTTAATTTTTCTCTGTGTTCTGTTAGGGTTCGGCATCGTCTTGCGGCTTCCTTAAGTAACATACGACTTGCCAAAACGTGAAACATCTGATATTGGGTTTTGTGGCTTTATTCCAAAACTTCTGGCCCATATAAATAATATTGACTCAAAGCCCATATCTTCACAATCTCTACCTTAGGCTTTGATTTTCTAAGGCCCACCTTCCCATCATCTTCCTTTTCACGTTTCTTCCTCATTGACGACAAAAGCAAAGCTTGCTTTCCCGATACTGGTTTCAATCTCCGACCACCGTTAAGCGATCTCCACCATTCTCCTATGTCATCTCTAAACCGCCTCTACGCTCGCAAAACCTCTCTAGTTTTTCCTTTTCTGATGGCGAGATCGAAGTTTCTCCTTCGCCTGAGATGCAAATCCCAATCTGCAACTTCAACTCCGGCGACTTCTCAATCCTCGACCACCTCTGACAAAATCCGAAGCTTACGACATCATTGGGCTCAACCAATTTCGATCCTTGTCACCAATTTCCCATCATCTCTCTCGATCGCGATTTCAAGAGATCAACCTGGGTTTTTCATTTCCAGTGATGTCGTCGCCGTCGACACTCTCTGCTATCTGCAACTGCCTTCACACGTCACCATTCAAGCCCTGAAGCCTCAGTTCCTCTTTGATTCTTTCCGATAGTGAAACTAGATGCAAATTTTTCTCAGACTAGAAAAAAAATTTCATCACTTGCGATTCCTCTTTGCTGTTACTCTTTGTAACCTCACCAACGAACCACGTCGTCTTGTTCGTTGTTCCGATGATTCCAGGTAACCCTCTTGACCTGAACCATCTATCCTTGCTTGTCTCTGTATCTTAAGATATCTCCGAGACACTATGAAATCTCAATTTCTGATTTCATACTTGTAGCTTCTATAGAAAACTTGATTCATCTTTGTCGACCTGTTGATTCATCTCATGTGCACTGAGCTTTGAATCAATCTCTTCATGAATCACTTCCAGCTACTCCACCTGAAACTAACCAGTCTCAATTTCATCTCCTTTGCAGCTCCTCCAGATGAACAGTCCATGTTCTTCAGCTACTTAGATGACCTCAGGTAAATCCCTTAACCTGAACCTTGTACTCTCGACTTGTTTTCCAGATTCATTGAAAACACAGCTAACTTGTCTTCCCTTGAATCTCTCTACAGCTCCACCTGGAATTAAAGTGTCCTCACCGTAATTCCAGCTGCCTCCAGGTAACTCCTCTAACCCATTAATCAAACTGATTTTATTTTATCGACATAAAAACATCTCCGAATACTGACCCGTTTCTATGTTCTTCTTCCTGCGAGAGCACACTGTCGATAATGGAGTTACCTGGAGCTGCACCACCCTTCAAACTAGGTTGAGAAGGTCGCAGCAAACCTGAGCTTTCTGTCCAGGTACTGCTTCAGTTACAACATCTGCTATGCCTTGACTTGTTTGAATCGTAGATAGAACTAGATCCCCTTTAGCTCTACCTCCAAAAATACCTGTGCCCAATATCTCTGAAACCTTTCCCACGTCATTCTCTTTAAACTCCATGCTCAGATTTTCATTAAAGCTTCTGATTTCTTGCCAATCCCTTGAAACTTTCTTAGACTCAATTTCATCTAAAATTTCCGATTTTTCTGATGAAGATGAGTCTCCACCTTGAGCTGATAAACTTTCTTTTTCAAAACCAAAAGGAGTTGGTCCTTGAATCAGATTCTCGCTGAATGTCACCTTCTTTGACTTCTCCTTTTTCACTTCTACCTTAGAAACAGTGCCTTGAAGATAATACAAACCACCATGGTATTTTCCAGATATTACCTTTTTCTTTCCTTTGTAAAACTGAACCTTGAAGTTACCTCCTTTATACCTGCAACCAGATTTCTCTAACATTCCATAAGAAATAAGATTCCTACTCACCTCTGGTATGTATTTCACATCCTTGAGTATCACTACAGAACCGTCTGGATTCTGAATCTGAATCTTCCCCATTCCTTTGATGTTACAATGAGTGTTATTAGCCATCAGAACTCTACCACTATCAAACTCCTTGAAATCAAACAAGACTTCTTTGTCTGGTGTACTATGGTATGAACAGCCTGAATCCAGAATCCATTCTTTCTTTGTATCTTGAGTGCTGACACTTAACACCATTGGTTCCTTTGAATCTGTTGCAACATTTGCAGAATCTGCAGGTTTCTTTCTATGAGGACAATCCCGTTTCCAATGTCCTTCATCACCACAGACAAAACAACCTTTGTTGTTTTTCTTTCCTCTACTCTTAGACCTTCCTCTTCCGTTCTCTGACCTCTTTTCTGATCTGCCTCTAGCCTCAACATATAACCCTTCTCCATCTGATCTTGGAAGCCTTTCAATTTCAGACAGCTCTCTCTCCTTAGATTTTGCAGCACTAGCTACTTCCTCCAACTGAATAGCTTCCCTACTATACTTTAGAGTATCCTTTAAAGAATCATACCTAGAGGGAAGAGAGTTGAGTAGCAGTATTGCTTGAACCTATTCTGGTATCTCGATGTTGAGGTTGCTCAAATCTGCAATTAGCTTCAAGAAGTCATCTACATTCTGATCAATTGATCTTGAATCCTGCATTCTAAAAGAATACACTTTAAGCTGAGCATGGACCCGATTAGGCAAAGTCTTTGCCATGTAAAGCCTCTCAAGAGTAGCCCATGCTTGAGCTGCGGTTACGCACTTGTCTAGTTTCCTTAAGACATGATCTCCAACACACATGAAAATAAGATTCAAAGCCTTTTCATCTCGCTCCAGCCTGGAAGCTTCATCTTTGCTCTTTTTCTTTATTGCCTCTGGATCTTTTTCATCCACGTCTTTAAAGGTCGGTTCCGTAAGAACATCTTTCAAACCTTGAACGGTTAAGTACGCGAGCATCCTTTTCTTCCAGATCACAAAATCCTGATCCGTCGAACATGTTCACCCCCATCTTTTGTGTCGTCATCATTGAGTTTCTAATCTAATCCTTAAGCACTCACAACCAAACCTGGTTGCTCTGATACCACTTGTAAGGGTTTTTAGTTTATGTTTAGTGCTTTGATCTTAGGATATATGAAACTTAAACGAACACAAGAAAGTTTGGTCACCCAGTTCACGGCCTCGAACCGCTACGTCTGGGGTTGGGAACCGTCTCCCACAACTTCCACTATCAATCAAAGATTACACAAGCACACTAACCGGTGCTCTCTTTTGTGTTCAGGTACAAAGCTTAACCAAGAAACTTAGAAGGAGATTACTACACCAAAAGACACACTCTAAGAACTCTAAGAACACGAAGACTCGAACTCCGTTTCTTTTCTCTCGATTGCCTTTTCTCTCTCAACTTCTCTCTCTCGTTTCTCTTGCTTGTACTACGCTCCTTTAATTTTTCTCTGTGTTCTGTTAGGGTTCGGCATCGTCTTCCGGCTTCCTTAAGTAACATACGACTTGCCAAAACTTCTGGCCCATGTAAATAATATTGACTCAAAGCCCATATCTTCAAACAATGTTTCTCTTCTACTTCATCATAATCTCGAATAACACACCAACAGAAACATCAAGATAGATGCATTGTTGAATGCTTCTACGCAGGGCTGGCTTACTCTAGCGCATATGAGTGTATTTTTCGATAAAGTGAAATTATTTTCAGGCTTCCAGCCAATCTTTGATTATATTTTTATAGATATCTTGATATAAACTTGAATTTTTCAAAGATTACGTATCTCAATTGTGTACAAAATTTTCATGTAGGTGTTCAACGCTGGTACGCAGTTTTGAAAAAAAATCTATGTTTCACATTCTGAGAATTTTTTGATGAAGAAATAGGATCTTATATGACTTTCTTTGATATAAGAGATGGCATAAAGGACAAATAAGCTCGACATCAAGACAAAGAACAACAAGAAATATCGACTATAACACCTCTTCTTATAGCTGCTGACATAGCTGCTGACATAGCTGCTCAAAGATCGACTCACTTAGACAGGAAGAGCACATCACCACCTAACCGATTCAGCATAGACTGTTTATACAAGACCATTTTGACAATAGATTTAATTCAACTATGATTGGTAAAATTGGATACAAAAAAACTGTTAACGCATTCCTCTAAAATTTGAGTCCAAGAGTATCTGCATATTTTCATGCCTTTAGTTCTTTGATTTCGGGAAGAACAAACCCTTTTTTTCCTTTCTGTAAAAGTCACATTGGTATATTTAAAAAATTAGCCGCTTCCCTCTAGTCCATAAATCTAGACTGTAAAATTGCAGTGTAGAAACAAAATATTATTTCTCTTCTCTTGCTTGTATTACTTGCTAGCATGTCTCTTAAACATCCTCTTAATACAAGCAAGAGAAGAGAAATAATATTTTGTTTCTACACTACAAAAATTGCATGTCTATATATATATATATATATTATTTGATATCTTTTTATGTAAAATCCTAAACTTAAAGTACTAAAATTCAGCATCTAAAGAAAGGTATGTCTATGTCTAAGATGATTTAGGCGTTAGACAGTACCCAAACACCTTTCTTTTTTAGGCTCACTTAGATTCATAATCCTTTTCTATCCCCAAAATGATTTAAACCCTCTTTTATTTCCTTCACTTCTTTCCCCATTTCTTGTGGTTTCATCCATTTCCAAGATCTATTTTCTGAATCTCTCTTGCCCGATTTCATCTCTGAAAGCTTTCCGATAAAAGGGAACTCTGCATTTCATGATGCACTTGAGATCGTTCAAGTTGCCTTTGAGGATCTCAACCACCTAATTTAAGGTCAAAACATCAAAACAAAGGTGGTTTTTTTACTTTTTATACAAGAAACTTGAGGTTATGTACCTGACTCATCCCAGGCCTCTCTATTGATGATTGTTGGATTGATAAAGAAGCAGCCAAAAGCGAAAGTTTAATCTGCCTCCACTCGTAGTCACCCTCTAGAGATGGATCGATGAGCTCTCTAATTTTGTTCTTCCTCATCAATGGTTTAGCCTGTGAACACAAAAATGAAATAAACTAAGAACAAAAGTGGAGAGGTAACATCTTTTGTCTTGGATCTATGGCCGAAGGCGTAAACTCGCTATAGCTTTCCAAAGACTTCCCGTGGACTACTACTTAGTCCCTTGGCTTGCAAGCTACTCCTTGTTAGGGCTTACTCATCCTCGGAAGAAAGAATCTCATGAGATTTGGAAGAAACAAAAGAAAAGGAAGAACTCACCCATAGAACAAGACTCTGCTTGGAGTAGTCAAGAGCTCTTCGTCCAGTAACAAGTTCTAGTAAAAGTACACCCAAGGCGAATACATCAGTCTTCTCATCTACTATCCCGTGAGTTAAGTACTCAGGAGCAAGATATCTGAAACAAAGAACGCAAATGTTTATTCTCTGAGCCATTCTTGGCAAGAACCAATATATCCAAAGAAGAATATGCTTAATGCTTAGTCTCACCCGAATGTGCCCTCAAACTTGGAAACAACATGGTGTGTCCAATGTTCAGGTAGCCACTTCGCTAGCCCAAAGTCGCATATCTAAAAAAAAAACGCAAGACATTCTCATCACCGGGTAAAGAATTAAATACTGTTTTGCAAGCATCATATATATATGATATATCTATGGTACCTGAGGCGAAAAATCATGCGTGAGAAGAATGTTTGCGGCTTTGATATCTCTGTGAATGATTCTCCTGTGACATCCTCTGTGAAGATACACAAGACCCTCTGCAACTCCTAATGCTATCTTGTACCTAATGCTCCATTTCATCTTCTCCTTCGAGCCTATCATACCATCGAAACAACTAAGTTTCTTTTCCCAAAACCATAAAGGCTTACAAGAGTGAAAGAAGGTAGGTTTACTTACTATAAAGCATAGAAGCTAAGCTTCCATGTGGTGATAACTCAAGAACAAGGTGCATTCCTCCTTCGACACCATAGCCTAAAAGCTTGGCTATGTTTGGATGGTTAACATGCGCCATTATACCCATCTCCGAAAGAAAATCTACGATGTTCTCTTCGCTGTTGCCTCGCATCAGCCGTTTTATCGCTACCATTTGTCCATTTGATAACTTCCCCTTGTAAACTTCAGCATAACCTCCTTTCCCAATTATATTCTCTGTCACAAAATCCATCAAAAATATTGCTAACAATTACATGAAAAAACTTCTAGTTTTAGTAGTTATGTGTTCAATAAATTTATTTATTTTGGCCAAAATAATGTGTTCAATATTAAATTCCATAAATTCTACGTCTTCTTCATAACAATTGAAATTACAAAAACATTCAGACCCAAAGATTACTTCAAAACAATCAAAAAGTTACCAAAAATGATTGCTAATTGTCATTACTTCATAATTAGATTCAAAAGTGATCTAATTTTTAGAAAAAAAATCTGCTACTTCTAATAGATCTAACAGAATCAAAGATAGGATTGTGAAGTACTGTTATTTCAGTGATGCAGAAGAAGAAGTATGCATTAACAATATTATTAAACCAGAAAATCAACAATTCTAATTTTATCAAACCGATTCTAAACCATATGGAGAGAGAGAACAAAGTTCATAATTAAAAAGTGAAAATTCCTCAGACTAGTCTTTAAGGTTAATGAAATGACAAACCTAGCCTAATATATTGAAGGGCTTATTAGACTAACCTTATAAAGTTGGTTTAAGTCCATTTTATCGAGATGTTGAATATTATTACGAAAATGCCATTATGATTTTTTTTTTTATAAATTTTTTTTTTTCGAAAAAACTTTAATTTCGAAAAAAACTTTTTAGAAAATCGAAATTTTTTTTGACGAAAAAAAAACATTTTTTTAAAACGAAAAAAGCAAAAAAAAAAATACAAAACCAAAAACTAAAAAAAAAAAACCTAATTCATCTTCTTCTCTCTCTTTCTCCTGCGCCGTTTTTTTTTCTCCCATGGAGCTACTCTTCTTCTTAACCTTTTCATTCCTCTCTTGCTCTCCTCTTTATCTTTTTTTTTGTTTTGTTAAATTTTGTTGTATGAATATGTATTCTTTATGAACTTCAAAGTTTCGATGTTTCAGATCGAGAAAAACACAACTAGTTTTACCGATTTTTTGTATCAAGAAGCCTCCAACGTTTCCAAGCTCGGAGATCTAGATCTTTCTATGGTTTCTACAATTCATTCTGTTATTATGTGAGTTTTTTTTTTCATTTTTTCGAATTCTTTGATTTTTTCTAGATCTGGGTTTTTGGATCTAATATCAACGATAAACTATGGAGATGTGGCGGTTGGCGGTGACTCTTAAGCAGCATTCTCGCCGCGTCGCGCACAACCGCAGTGGATAGACATTGTTTCGATGGAATGGTGGTGTTGTGGAGGTTGTCGGCGGCATATATTTTTTTTTTCAGGTACGTTTGGTAGATATATTTGGAAATCGATTTTGTATTTTTTTGGTTGTAAAGTTCATAATGTGTGATGGTAGATTTATTTGAAAAACGGTATGTAGTTTGGTAGATTATTAGTTATTTGATGGTAGATATATTTAGAAAACGAAATGTGGTTTGGTAGATTTATTAGTTATTTGATGGTAAAATTATTTTAAAAAACGATGTCGTTTGGTAGATTTATTAGTCATCTAATGATAGACTTATTTGTAAAACGATGTGGTTTGGTAGATTTATTAGTCATTTAATGGTAACTTATTTGAAAAATGATATGTGTTTGATAGATTTATTAGTTACTTATGGTAGATTTATCAGTCGTTTATATTTGAATTTTATATATGAGTAACAATATTTGTTTATTTTTTTCTGACAGATTATGGGCTTTGCCATGAACAAATCTTTGATAGGATATCCATCACCGATCCGACATGTTTTACTATGAATTGTAGATTTACATTTGGTAGATTTGTTTTGAAATGATGGTAGATTTATTATTAAATTGATGGTATATCTATATTTGAATTTTTAAAAATGATAATTAGATTTTGAATGATAATATTTTTGTTTTCAAATTATATTTGTCGTAAAACATTGATCCAGACATTTCACATTTTTATCACATTTGCTAGTAATGTTATTATTCAATTTAATTTATTTCTTTATTTTTATTATGATGTATATCATAACTGAAATCATTTGACATTGTGATGTTGTAAAAGTTTATGTAAATAGAGTTAAATGTAACAAATATTCAAAAATAAAAATCAAAAGATCATAAGTTAAGAGATGGTTATTACAAATATGACATATATGTTCAAAGTTAATATAAAAAGCAAAGTTATCTTAGAGAAAAGATATATCATAGAAAAAATATTTATGTTAGAAATTTTTGATCATTGATTATGGCATCTATATCGTAAAGAACAATACTCATCTGTGATCGAATCACAGTTAACCGACATAATCTTAGCAAACTCATGCAAAGAAAACGTCAATGGTAACAAAACCAAGTCAAATATAACTATGGAACAAGTCTACCATATGTACGAAACCTGTTTAACATACAATATTCCAAAACAAGTCTACCAAACCGCTGGTTTTTTCGTAGATAGGAGAATATATTTAGGACAAAAAAGTAATTTCAATCCAAAAAGTCAAATGTCTGCCAAACATTAACAACTAAGTCTACCTCAAGCATGGAAAATAACTCTACCATAGAAACAAGTTTACCATAAGCACCTTATATGTCTACCAGATCGAGGTTATCTTTGTAAATACCAAACTTAATTAATCTACCACATGATTATTATAAGAAGTCTACCATACGTACAATAACTCTACCAGATTACATAAACTCTACTAAACTGATAAACAAATTTACCAACATTCTGTAAGTCTACTTGATGTAGCAAATAATCTACACAATCCCAAGCCAAGCTTTCTCACCCGAAGGGAACGGACAGTCAAAAGGAAGGTGATCACCGGAACGATGACACTGAGCGAGAAAACATTCTGTAAGTCTAAAATGGTCATCACTTCATAGTTAGATTCAAGAATTGAAATCACAGAATTATAATTCTTCTTCAGAAAAATTGAAATCACAAAAACATTCACATCCAAGATTACTTCCAAACAATCAAAAGTTATCAAAAACGATTAATAATGGTCACCATCTTCGTAAGTAGATTAAAAAATGATCAGAAATTTATATCTTATTCCTGAAAAATCTTTCAATTCTAATAAGATTCTGAAAATTCTGTTATTTTAGTGATGAAGAAGAAGTGTACATTAACAATTCTACTAAACCAATTTAACCGATCCTAGACCGATTTTAAACCATATGGAGACAGAGAGATAACAAAGATGAGATTTTTAAGAACTTACCTACAGCGAAATTGTTTGTAGCAGATTTAAGATCAGAGAAAGTGAAGATTCTTCGAGGAGAGAAAACAAGAAAGTGAGAATCGTGGGAGCCGAATCTGAGATTCTCTCTCAAGCTAGTGCATCTTCTCAAAGAGCTTTTAATGGCATTGTTGTTGTGAAACGGAATCTTCAGATTCTCCAGCGATTTCTTCGATGTGCTTCTTAGAAGCTGAACGATTTTGCGGAATCGGGAGGAGGAGGAGGAAGGGTTCTTCGTCGTCGTTATCGTCACGGAGGTTTCAAATTCTTCGGTTCTGAAGAATTCTTCGAGAACTCCGGTTGGTGAAGAAGAAGAATCTGGAATTTTCATAATTGCGATGCTCTGAGGAAGAAGATGACAAAAAACGGTTTTTTAAAATTTAGACAGACACAAACATTCAGACAATTAATTTGAAACTTGAAGCGGCGAACTTTTTAGTTTTCCGCGAAAAAGGAAAAATCTTTTTTTTTTTTTCTTTTTTCTTCCTTTTTTCGTTTATATTATAAATTAAGAGAAGCTCGAACATGGAAATTTTACAAGCGAAGTTAACAAGAAATATCAAAAGAGAGAGAAGAAGAAATAATGAAAAACAAGTTAAATTTTAATTTTTTCCAATTTTTAAAAGAAGGTAGACAACATCAAAAGACAAAATACTTTGGAGCAATTTTAGCAAAAACAGTAAAGAAATTTTTAGCAAAAATATTTTGGAGCAATGAAAATGACCCAAAATCATTGATTGTATTTGAGTAAATCACAAAACAAAAAGGTTACTCTCTCTGTAAGTTTCCATTATGAAAGTTTTTGCACACTGTATATTTATTATTCATCTACAAAATTAATACTTTCTCTGTTCATGTTTAAAGTTTTTTATACAAGAATTCATTTAATTTTTATTTTTATACTAAAAACATCATTTGTTATTTATTTAAACACAATTCAACCAATAAAAAATAATCTACAGAATACAAATAGTCTAAAAAATAAAAGAATTATTAAATTTTGTATTGAAACTGAAAAAAACCACTTATAAGAAAAACTCTTAAAACATCACTTTTTCAGAACAGAAAAAGTATAAGAGTATAAAATTAAGGTGATATATAAGTTGAATTACAAACCCAGACACGTCCTGTAAAGATCATAGCAAACCGATCTGCAAAGCACAAAGTACAATCTGAAATCTTTCTCGAAATTTTTTATATAAATGACAAGTTAACTTCAATTTAATTATTATACAAATGTAGAAAGTGAAACATTAGCCTTGAACAGAATTAAGGAGAGAAGATAATTTTCTTTTAGAAAAAATTAGAATCTAAAATGTAAGAAAAGCATAAGAACATAAGACAATATACCATGAGAGAAGAGAAATCAAGTACTCCTGAAATTCAATATACTCTGATGGATGAAGTGAGAGAGGGTAAAATGGTGGAGAGACTATCACTTAAGGTATGATAAACCTTCGTTTTCGTACCACAATATATAAGACCATCCAATAGCTGTTTTTTTTTTTTCATATGCAAAATGGTAATGATAGAAAAGGACCTTTTTTCAAATGATAATAACTTTGATGAAAATTAAGTAAATGATTATGATGTAACAATTCTAAATTTCCATAAGTACTGTTTTGGTATATATGCAAAAAATTTCGACAAAGATTTCAGGTTGTACTTTGTTCTGCTTTGCAGATCGGTTTGCTATGATCTTTACAGGACGTGTTTAGGTTTGTAATTCAACTTGTAGTTCACCTTTGTTTTATACTTTTATATTAACTTTGTATATACCGAACGCCAAGCGTATATGAGTATTTCACATGACTATATTATATTGTAATGATGAGCTATAGGAGTAATACCTTGTAGATCCACCAATCTTCAAAGGTATATAGAGTACTAATAACATATCTACCAAACTGTAATCATTATAGAGTAATTAAGGATTTTTTTTTTCTTCCAGAAGAAGATACATTACTATAGAAGAAAACAAACATTTGATTGTCATTGGTTGTTACGTGGTACAAATAATATCAGAAGACATACTTTACGACCAAATCAAGGCATAATAATAACCACCACTTAATTATAATTCCGATAATATACTAGGCCACTAAACTGCCAATTAGCCAAGGAATCCTGATGTTTTAGCGAATGGAATAAAAACAATTTACTGGCTATTTCTACAATACTGAAATCTGACGAAAATGATACAAAATAGATTTGGAGAATATAGATCACTGCTTACAATTTGTTGTGCTTGCTTTACCAAACCAGAACATATTCGGCTCTTAAAATTTTGGTAGTCGTGATTTGTTTTGTTCTTAACGGATACTAAACTTTAGTATTTGCTTTGCTCTGTAGAGTTAAACAGATATATTGCCCAGCCACACTTCCACCTCTGTAGAGTTAAAGACTTTCGTCTTGGGACATTCAACCGCAGAAACCAATTGTATAAAATTTACATGAATTCTGTATCATTCATATACAGACACTACTTTCTGTGGTAACAATTGAAACAAATCTTTCCTGTACAACGAAACAACTCGCCATGGAAACATTTTACACCCAAAGAGAGACACAGTGAGAGAAGGGGAGAGAGAGAGAGAGAGAATAAGAAGAAGATTCTGTTTTTTTTCTTTTCTTTTTGTTTTGTAGTACTTACTTCGGTGTTTTGGAGGTTTTATTAGCCAAGGTAAGGCAACATTGGGTCCAAGCCTAGTCCTGACCCTCCTCCCAAGCTACCTGGATCAGCATGCTTTACTCTCCCGAAATGGCGTATGTGACGCAACAGTCTCGCAAGGAACGTGTTGTGGCAGATTGTTGAGCTATCGCATACAACTGCCACGTGTTTCCGGGCTCTTGTTATGGCTACGTTCATCCTTCTGCTATCCCCTAGGAATCCCACTGCACCTAGGTTATTTGACCGTACCTATATGTGGTTCACAACACAGTAATTGTCAATGAGTTCTTCGATGAAAAGCGTATCGGCAATTATGTTAATCGGTTTTGGTTTTCACAATCAAGTGCAACATAGAAAACACATTCTTATATGCTTTTGGGATCCGAAAATGGTTTAGAGATCGGCTTGTCAAGTTATGAGCAGAAGAAGTAAATGTATGAATGCAACAGAAGGTAACAGGACGAGAGTGGTGTGTACCATTGAGATGATCACTGCATCGGCCTCACGGCCTTGAAAACTATCAATGGTTGCGACCTCAACTCCATCAGCCACTGGAAAATCATCCAGCCTCTCTCTGAGAAGTTGCACCTGAGCAACATATGGGGATTGAACGGCAATAGCCATTGGACTCACACCTAAAAATCATGTCCAACGAGTTGCATATTAGGTTATATGCATCAAGCTTTTGATTCTTTAAACTCTAGCTGGTTTCCAAGTTACAACAAATAGGAATATTCCAGTCTTTTAACTGAAAATATAACACTCACCTGCATATATAAGAGAAATGACGTGATTAACCACAATATCTGCTTCTCCTTCATTGTATAATGAGCCTGTACCAGCTGGATCTAGACGCTCCTCGCAGCCCACTGATAAACTCCCATATGGCATTCTTGTGTCAAGGAGAAGCAGTGGGCATTGCGTTATCCAAGTTGGCTGCAGCAAGTGGAAAAAATATGTAAGAGTCATGAGGTTACCATAGTGCATACGATTTACAGTAACAGACACAATCAAAGATAGAATCATGAAACACAAATCAATAGTCTCGTTAAAGAAACTGAGTATTGCTAATAAAAGCGTAGAAATAGTAAACAGATGTGTGATCGCATGCCATGTTGTCATCACATTATGTAACAGAACCAATTAAACAGCAGAAACAGTAAGAAGAAGTACCTTCACGAATGGAGAATCGATAAGCAGATGAGAGGCAACACTCGGAGCAGATTTCAACCATCCACCATACATCTCCTTTGATGCCCAGCCAGCGATTACATCATTCATACGATACTGAGTTGTTAGCTTTGTAGCAAGAACTCCATCATGCAAAGACGCAGCTCGTTCCAGTAAGGATACACCAAGCCCACTTTCTAAAGCTTTACGTGATAGAATAACCGGTGCTAATTGGCATGGATCACCGGCAAGAATACAACGTTTGCCTCGCAATATTGGGATCCAGCAGGAAGGCTCGATAGACTGACCAGCTTCATCTATAACAACCAAATCGAATGTTTCTAGCCTCCTAATCAAAGGATCAGCTGCTCCAATATTAGTTGCAAAAACAACCTCTGCACTCGATAGTACTTCCTTAACAGTTTCTTTTTCCTTCTTCTTCATCGTCTTTCCGAGCTGTTTCAAGAGCTGACGAATGCCAGCTGCAAGAGAATCATCCTTCAGGCAATACCGAAGATCTTTTCTTAAATCTGACTTCTTCCTCTCCAGTTCTGCTCGAAAGCTTGCAAGCTTAGAGTTCACGATCTCCCCCAGAGACTTTGAAGCAACAGCGGATGATATTCTTGCAGGGTTTCCTACTCGGACAATGTTTAGTCCAAGATGTGAGAGCTTCTCGACCATATTGTCAACAGCTGCATTAGTAGGTGCTGTAACAAGTACTCTTTCTCCCTGTTGAACAGCGAGGGTAATAACCTCCTTAAGCATTCCAGTCTTTCCCGTGCCAGGAGGTCCTTGAACTATCATAACTGGTCTTTTCTTGTTTACCCCCAAAGCTATGGCTCTCCTTTGAGAATCATCATATAACTTTTCCACTGGCTCGTCACTCAACTCCGCTTCACACCAGTCTACATAATCATTCTGCTCCAGCCATGTGATATCTTCCCCATCCCCAAATAACGTCGCCACTACAGCAATTGATGGATTTTTCTTCTGCAGACCATTCTTCTGCAGAAGCATTAGGGCTTCGCAGTTACGCTGTAACAGAAGACCACAATAAGCGAGTTGCAGAAAGAAATAATGTATTTGAGCAAACACTTGCAATAATAGGCCATGATAAGCATATTTTTTTATGTCGTTAAGATGAATGTTACTGGGAATAAACTCTGCATCTTCAACCAATATGGAACAAAGATATACCTCGTAAGTAAGAGCATCGGCCAACCCATGAATACGATCAATTCTCACACTCTTTCCAAAGAGCTTGGAGAAAGTAGGGTCTCCATGACGAGACTCTAGAGCCACACCAATGCTGCACCCATCATCTCCGAGGTTGTGAACAAACCCCTGCGTACATGAAGTTGCTCCAGCTCCCCTACTGTCACAAATCCGTATGCAAACCATGTCACCAGGGGAAAGTGTAGTAGGAGGAAGACGGTGGTTGTCTCCAACTTTAAACAACACCAAGTGCATACCTCCAAGTCCTGCATTTTGATTTTACATATTCAACAAATTTCAGTGAAAACTACAAGATAGAGTTTAGTTATTGACAGACAAATATCTGGTTGTGTCTAACCTGTGGAGGTACTAACTGCATACAAATTGCAAATTGTGTCACAAAGCTCCTGTGGAGCTTCACCGTGCCTAACCAAGAACTCGATCGGTTTTGAGGATCAGAGCTCTCATCTGGAGTAGGGATAACATCTAGTTCTTCCTGCGTAACTTCCAGTTCTGTATCTCGTTCCACCTGAAGTAATTGCGACATACGGCTGGTGAACTCATCAATCCTTGCCTGTATGGCCTTCACCTTCTCCGAGTCCATCCCAAAAACTCCTTGAACAGGCTTTGGTTGATTAGCTTTGCGAGCAACCTCCCGATGCTGAGCTGCAAAAACACCAGACAAACCAAAATTTCCAAGTTCAGCCAAACTATAAAACCAATAAATAGATTGGAATCAGAATTAAAAGAATTCAAACCTGAATTTGCGATCTCCTTGAGCAGCTTCCAAGACTGGGTCTCCTTCCAATTCTCGATTACGTTCTTGCGCTCAAGGTCTTGAAGAACATCACGCAGCTCTCTCTGGAAATGATCGAACAAGGTGGGATAATGTGTGCAAGCCTTCAAACAAATGACTTCAAGCCCTAGCGGCATGGGAATAGCGTTGAGATACGGCTGAGCCTGAATCACAAACGTCAAACCGGAACCAGCGTTTTGCCTCAGCTCCGAGAACTCGCCCTGAACCTCCGCCGTGGCGAAATCGGAAGCCATCGCTTTCATTGCTTGGCTAATCCACTTCACTACGTTCCTCCCTAGATCTCTCCTCCCTAATGGATCTCCGTTTTGATTCAAAGCACCAAGACTCAGTTCCTTATCGTTCTTCTTACTCTCCTCCGGTTTCTCATCGACAAAGGTTTCACTACTAACACTCACAGATTCACTATCGTTCCTCTTCTCGATTTTCCTAGACCTAATTTTATCGGAAACATTACTTTTCCTTCGTGGCTTCTTCTTCGTAGCACTTGAAGCGCCATTAATGCCGCTGCAAAAAACCTTCCCACGAACGCCGCCGCCACCGTCGGAATCTCTCTTGACGGAGAACACACAAACGTAATTCGCCGGCGGTCTAGTGAACGTGAACGCCGTCGACGGAATCCTAATGCTTCTGCAAAGAAAACTTGAAGCTGCGTCCATCCGATTTTTCTCCCGAGATAATGAATTTTCTCTCTGTTTCCCGAGAAAATGCAAAAGAGAAAAAAATCTGTAGTTAGAAAGTAGAGGCTATAGACATTTTCAAGGAATCTGAGAAAGGAAAATGCAGAATATCGAAAATTCTTCGTGGACCTGTTTATATAGTGAAGAAGAGTTTCAGATATTTGAGAAGACGAATCTCTCTCAAATTGCTGATGATTTTGAATCTAAGCCGCAAGATGAAACTTGAGGCTCTCAGAGAATATTTGTATTTTATTTTATTTTATTCTTTTTTTTCAGTTTGAAAAATTGGTAAACGAATTTTGATTTTGAGACTCAAAACTCAGAGGAGAGTCGTGATGAGAGATCGTAGTCGAGAATTGTGATTGGCTAGGATTGATTCTTTGTGGGCAGGCGACGTGTTTAATTACTGTCCTATCCTTTATTTTTTGTTTGTTGACTTATACCCCCTTTCTTTTCAGATTCTTCTTTTGAGACCCCGTAATTTTAGCTTTTACAATTGGTCCCATTTTGCTTTGAGTGGGCATGGTTCAGATGATTTCATTGGTAACACAATGGGTAAGCGGGAAAGGAGAATGGTAAGTGTTCAGATAAATAACTTCTCATGGAGAAAGCACACATGATGCCATGTGTAGTAGATTAGTCGATGAATAAAATGTTGGACCCAAATTATTATAAAGCCCAAAAGCTTTAAAATTTGGTCAGAATAAAAATAAAGTCTTTCAAGGCAACTTAAAATGTGAGGAATATTATTTTGTCCCACATTGGAGGATTGAAATTTTTTTGAGTCATATAAATATAGACACACACATGACATAGTTCAAAGTGTGTGAAGGAGAACCAAGGATCCCTCGCGCGCCGCCGCAGCCGCCAAGCCGGGCTCGGGGCTTGGGTCAACATTTTTGGCCCAAATTGCTAAAGTTTTCGGTTCAAATTCTTAACAGAATCACGACATTAAATTGCAGTCAAATGTCTATCACAAAAATCACGCCAAGATTAACGCCCAAATCGTGTCATTAGCACATAATTAATCACGTTATTAACATGCTGATTACGTGCGACGCTCCCATCTCCTTTGCTATATATATCAACTTCTCCTCTTCCATTTTTTACTTACTTGTCTCAAAAATTTTACAGACAAAAAGTCGTTCACACTTTCCTCAATCTCTCACGTCTCTTTTCTTCTTTCAAGAGTAAGTGTCCGAGAGTATATCGTAGAATATTAGTTCGTCATATTCTATAATCGGGTGCTGCGATTATACGAATACTAGTGGTTGTATACTGGGATTCATTATCTCATCCAATCGCCACACTGCGGGAGAAATTTTGAATTAAGAAAAGAGATCATCTTGCCTCCACTTCTCGTTTTTCCTTAATCCGATTTTACAAAACGTTTTTCTGTGTCTCAAATCGTTTTCTTATATTGCAATATTTGTCTCCTCTAAATTTACTTCTTATAGTCTTAATTCAAAATAATCCGATCCTGCTTATCGCTTGAATCGGATCCTATATTGCTTTACAAACGATTTTTAGAAAACGTTTTAAGGAAAAAATGATTTGTTTTTACAAACAAAAAACCGTTTCCGCGAAGGCCTTTAGCAAGTTACGCGAAACGTTATTGGACCACACAAGGACAGTTTTATAACTTCCTTTCCGCGTCTGTAAATCGTCTCGGTTAAATCCGTGAACGGTTTTTTCAAGTTCAAAACTCAAACGCGATTCTACGACCGCTCTATAGCGTTTTCGCAGAACACATAAATTAGCGACTCTTATTTTTAATCGCTATTCTATCGATTCTATTCAACGAATCTGACAATTTTTCTGTCTCTTTTTTGGAACAGATGTCGAAAAATGTGGAGAAATCCGTTGATGGAAGACAAGAGGATGTCGCTGAATCAACACCCTTAGCGGTTGGAGATGCAGCACTCGGATCCCTGCCCACAAACATTCCGACTTTACCCAGCGCTATTGCTGCAGGTATCTCACCGGATAAGTTTGATGGTACCAACTTTAAACAGTGGCAGCAAAAGATGCACTTTTCCTGTGCACTCTGCATTTGGATAGGTATCTCACCGAGGACAAACCTGCTTTGCCCGCTGGGAATACTGATGTGCGTGCTGTTGCATGCGTTGAAGCATGGGTCCATGGGGACTTCCTTTGCAAAGGCTACATCCAGAGCCGCTTGGTTGACCAATTGTTCAATGTCTATTGCGAAATCAAGTCATCCAAAGATCTCTGGGAAGCTTTGGATAAGAAGTACAAGACTTTCAATGTATCCTCTGGAAGGTATGCAACCTCCAAATTTACGAGGTACATGATGGTGGACTCAAGGCCCATCATGGAACAAGTCCATGAACTTCAGATGATTTGTCAAGAAATCGCTGATGAAGGAATGAAGATCTGTGAAACCTTCATAGTAAATTGCTTCGTCGACAAGCTACCTCCTAGCTGGGTAGACTTCAGAAACTATCTGGATCATAAGCAGAAGTCGATGACCTTGTCAAATCTGATTTCTAGGCTGCAAAATGAGTCTTTGAAACACGAGGTAAAAGCTGCAGCGCTTGTCAACCCTGAACCATTTCACTCCTACAATGCAAATGTAGCAGAGTTCAAGAACAAGGGAAAAGGGAAAGTCAAAGGCAACGGGAAATTTCCTCCCAAAGGAAGGCAAAACAAGTTTGCTCCATCATCATCCACTTCCTTTAAAAAGAAAACTCCCAAAACACATATCCAATAGATTGGGAAGGAATGAAAGTCTCACCCAAATAATAATTCTTTGTGAAACAAACAAATGCACAAATGTAGTTCACATGGATAAGTCCATGTAGAACTTGATATTGGTGAGAATATGTGGCCACGTACATAGCAATTAAAGTAGGTATGATTAGTTAGAAGTTGAACACAAGAATCGTTAGGTTTATCTCTCAATTTTTTCCTGCCTAACAAAACTTATGTGTACGTGTCCATTAATAGACTTTGTGAAATTGTTTCAGAGGCGGAAGAGATAAACCATACGGCAGAGTATTCAGAGCAGCCACATCGAGTATTTGTTGTTATAGACCTGTAGTAGCATGGTTATGCATTTATTATTTTATATTCAGTGTTAGTGTCGTGATTAAGTGGACAAGACTCTATGGTCTAATATATAAGTTTCTTGGACACATTATTATGGCATGTTTGTATGGACACATGATAATATGAAGCTCCATTTCTCTATGGACATAACCATATGATCATGCATAACTAATATATCGGAACAATACATATGGACGCGATACACATAGGTCTTCATTTTTCAACAGTGTATTATTACTATATTTTAAATTATTCACATCCACATGATTTCTCACTTTATTAATCGAACCTGTCTTTATGTACATAACCATATGGAATAAACCCAAATATATTGTACTTCGTGGATATAACCATATGGACATATACGCAACTATATTGTACTTAGTCTTATATAGCCACATTATATGGACATAACCAACTTGTCATACCTACTGGTTTTTACCGTAAGCAGGGCTATATATATGTAATTTGAGATGCCCCATTATATTCATCCACATACGACTATTATCCAAGTTACTTAATATCACCTTCAATTACTTTGACTTACTTACTGTCAATGTACACAATTAACCATCTAAATTTTAATGCCAGTGTAATGGTCACGTACACATCCACAACTTGAGCTAGCTCATGCCACATCAACAAATAAAATATGGCTCCAATTGTCAACAAACCAACAAATTCCGCTATAACAGCTTAATTACATGGTAGCGATTATATGGTATATATAGTTATGGTTAAAGAGCTTCATTCATATTGGTATATACTCATGGTTGTGTAGTCATGGTTATGGAGCTGTTGTGATATTGGCATTCTCACATGTAAAACAGTTTTATGATTAAGTGGACAACACTATAGATTTAGGATATACGATTTTTTAGAAGTACATGGTAGTGACTATATGGTTGCATTGTCAATAATTGTCTTTCATTTTGCCTATGTCAGATTTCTAGTTATAATGGACTTGGTCACCATGGGTAATACATCATGGACATGGTTACGATAGACAAGATATCATGGATATGGTTACCATGGAATAGATATCATGTACACAGCTTGAATATCACGATCTCACCTAGCTCGTACTCGTCTGACTTCACAACTCCTTCGCCGACAGTTTCGGAGCAAGGTCAGCTTTGTCGACGGATTCGTGACGGCGAAAAGACTCTTTTTCGAGGATCAGTGAGCTTCCACGAGATCCATCTCCAGTGAGAGATAAGAGAGTAATAGAGAAGAGGAGATCTGAGGGAGAGCGAGAGAAGAAGAGAAGAGGAGAACTGAGAGAGAGCAGAAATCTAAGAGCGAGAGATATAATCACTATATGGAAAGAGAGCAAATATCTAAGAGCAAGAGATATGGTCACCAGATTGACAGATCTGAGAAAGAGAGGGAGAAAGAGAGAGAGAGAGAGAGAGAGAGAGAGAGAGAGAGAGAGAGAGAGAGAGAGAGAGAGAGAGAGAGAGAGAGAGAGAGAGAGAGAGAGAGAGAGAGAGAGAGAGAGAGAGAGAAAGACTAAGCTCAGGGAAAGCTTAAGACGAAGAAGGAGATACAGAGAGAATGAGAGAGATGTGTTTAGCCTTTTAATTACTAAACCGTCTTCAAATTCGGTTAACTAATTTCATTCAAACGAGTTGCTGATAATTAAATTGGAAGGAGAGGACTGAAATGAGTTTTCATGTCTATAAACTATAACAAAGTGTTATCTTATTTGAAAGTGCTAAAATCTGTAATTAGGAACTCAAAAAGAGCTATAGAGCGTAAACGTCTCAAATTTATAATAGAAATAACATAATAGATCTGCAGATAAATAGGTAATAATTAGAAAAAAAGTCAGTCGAAGAAATGTTGGATTGCCTTATATGCCTTGCAGTGTTGATGGGCCAATTGGTATACAGCCATAAATAACTTTGGGAAAATGTGATTGAAATAAGCGAATACATCCTTTCTAAGCTGCCTTGATCAAGCTTTGAAGTTCACCACCATTTATGGCCCTATTGGTTTTTAAGAGCAAATGACAATAAATTGCCTCTATGCACAAGATGTAACATATGTATCCACATCTTGTCATGGGCTCCTATAGGCTATAGCATATATATATATATATATATATATTCTCTAGATCGTCAATCTTATTTTGCAGCCGTGAGTCACCAACTTCTGAGATTGAAACACTTTTGAATTAACTCTAAGAGTGCA